ATATATATATAATATATATTCCTGCAAAGTGCAAATCAAAACACTTAGGTCTTTATCAGGGAAATCAAGGTCTCATCAACATGGCACAAAAAAAACGACCTGGCAGGCACAAGAGAGTAGAGAGATATTGAGAAGAGAATATAGGGGGTAGGGGGAGATGGACAGGAGAGGTGTTGAAGGAGAAAGAGTGCGAAATGAAGAGCTCAAGTCATGAGAAGTGGATTCAGCTCATTGAATCTTACAGCTGAGCTTGGCTAGAGAACATGTATAGGATGATGGCCACTTGACTACAGGGATAAATAGGAATATATCATCCTCTCCATTGAATTCAGGTTTCAAAACTATTACTGAACATCTGATAATTTCAAATGTATCAGGAATGTGAAATATGAATAAGATATAATTTCTGTCAAGGAAGAAAGAAAGGATGGGTGGAGACAGAACAAATTAATTTTTCTGTGGCTACTGCAAAGTAACTAACAGAGAGCATTTTGATACATATTTTAATTCTTTTTTTCTGTGCATTTTAGAGATTTTTGGTGATATTAATCTCACTCTTGGGATGCTGAACAAGGAGGATAATATTAGTAAGGTAGGACAAATAGGGAATAAAATCTTTCACCATTTTTAGTATCATTGTTGCAACATTTCATATATATTCTTTTTTGCCTCAACTGCCTTATTTTTTTTTCTGGCTTCTGACGTGGTGTTAGATTTTTCAAAAATGCAGTTGTAATAACGGAAGTCATTATAATGCTGAAACAATTATAGTTAGCATTTTAAGAACCATGGCACTTAGCAATCATTTAGCATTTCAAGAATATATCCACTTCTAGAAACTAGCAAATGATGCCTTGGTTCATAACCTTATATAGGTAGGTGTAGAAAGTGGGGGATGTCAAATTTGCAATCGTGTGGGTTAAAGACTCCTCCTTCATAATTTTAGGGTTCCTAGGAAAATCCACAAAGAGCTCCCATACTCATCTCTAATGAAATTTCACAACTGGAAAATTTTCCTGAGAATTGAAGGCTATTCAGACTTCAACAACCAAAATAACAATACTACCCTTCAATGGACACTTATATAGGAAGTGAAGGGCTAGATGTTTTCAACACAATGGTGCGCTATATAATAATTACTTCTCACAACAACTTCTTAAATATTGCTATTTCCATTTGACAACTAAGAAAAATAAGAGAAGTGACATGACTTTCCCAGAGAAGAACAAAACACAAGCCCATCTCACTCCATCAAAATGCTTCTAATAACTAGTCAGTATTGCTTCCTGGAAAAGGCAATACCTATACCTTTATCTCTTAATTCAGCAGCTCTAACCCCTGACTGTGTATTAGAATCCCTTAGAAAATTTTAGGAAAATACGGATTGCCAAACCTCATCACAGGGATTCTGATTTGACCAATCTGTGAAGAGCCTAGACATTTAAAGCTCACAGAGCTTATGCTAGCATGTAGGTATGGTTGAAAATCATTATATTAATCTCTTAGTAGGAATTAATTTTCCCATGAAGCACTATTTCTCAAATATTTGGGAGCATGTAGGAAATGGTCTCTGGACCCCTTAAGTACTGAGGAAGAAATTCCAGAGAAGGCATCAGAGAATAACAAATGCTTACAGTTTATTTTTATATTGTGTCAAGTTAAGGAATTGAAATAGCCAGCATGACAAATAGGTCACAGTGCCAGCTAAGAGCCAGGTTCCTAGGGCAGCGATACCACCTAATACTAACCACACGCTTTCTGTCACTCAATTTTCTCATTCGTAAAAAGGTATATTAGTGGCATCTAACACAGAGGCTCACTGTGAACAGTCCAAAGAGATGCTCCAGATAAAGGGCCTGGCCCAGTTCCAGGTACACAGTGAGGGCCCCACCAGTGGAGACCTTTCCAAGAGAACAGGCCTGCAGAAAGCAGAACGCATATATGGAGCAAATGATGAGACAGTCTCTGAAAGTACTTAAAGGAAGAAAGCAAAGACAAAGCAGAGCATATTCTTGAGTCTTCTAAGGCTCAGCCCTTAAAAATAGTGCAAAGGAAGCTGTTTCACACCTCAGATATGGGTGCAGCAGCTGGAGGTGTGCAATTGATACTGTTGGAGATCTGAGCACACCAGCCTCTCCTTCATGTAGAGATTTAGAGGCACTCACACACAAGCATCTGGCCAAGCCACGTAGTTTCCGAGGCCACAGCTTCATCCAAAAAGGATTCACCCTTCTCTTAGCAAAGGCATGAATAAAACAAGAACTTATAACTTTCCCTTTTTTTCACTTTATACATTTTTATTTGCTTTAATTAGTTATATATAATAGTAGAATGCATTTATGCACTTTGATATATCATAAATAAAGGGGTATAATTTCTCATTTTTTTGATTGTACATGTTATAGAATCACATCGGTCATGCAGTCATATGTGTAAATAAGGTAATAATGTCTGTTTCATTCTACTATCCTTCCTATCCCCATCTCCCCGCCCCTCCCTTCACTCCCCTCTACCTAAAGTAACTCTCCCTTTTGATCCAGTTTCATGGCGTAAAAACCTTTTTGGGAAATACAGTGTGCTTCCTTATACACTCCCTGTAATTAAGAGCAGTAATTAGGGTGTCAGGCATTTCCATCACCCCGGGACCTCTACAACAATGACTTTCAAAAGACTAATATATCAAGCAACCTGTCCCTGCCTTCAGTTTGATCTTGCCATAGGGATGTAACAAGTTCAAATCAATTTTAGAATTAGTTTTGTTCTACATGTAAACTTTTGACTCCTAAAGATTCATGTTATGTTTGGGAAGCCCAAATTAAGATATTTAAAATCCACTGTGTAATAAAAATATATTGCCTACTTTAATTGTGTTATTTATTTGAACTTCATCCAATTCCTTTATTTTTACAATCCAAATACTCCTTATATATTCACAGGAAGACATTTACAGTCATCTCACGTCTATTATTCAGAATTCTGACATCTTGGATGACGCAATTGTCCAACGGTTGATTTATTACACTTCTAAGGACATGAGAGATAACCATGTAAGTTTGGTTCTTATTGGTGAATCAGCACAGGGCTAGCAACAGGGTCTTCAAGTCACCCAAGAGCATCTGTGTGGATGGCAGAATCTTTTTCTATATCTCTGCTAGAACCACAAATGACTTTTCCTTCTTTTACATGGATACTTGAATACAGTTCCCATGCCCATTATTCATCCTTTCACAGTTGAGGAAACAGGGAAATCTGAGAAAGACTTTAGAGGTAACATCATCCAGACTCCATTTAGATAGGGAATTTTATGCTGACATGTTTTTTTTTTAAAGTAACACAACTATCTGTTGACTGAACAAGTAACTAGAAATCAGTTTTATTGGTCCCCTTATGATTTTTTATCTCTTTATGTGCCTCCTTATCTGGGACTGTATGATCTTTTCTTGATTTCAACCCATTAATTCATTATACTCTACATCGTGAGCTCCTTGATGCTTTTATGAGAACATTTTTTAGTATCTTGTCTTGATCTTTTTATTTTCCTCAGCCGGAGGATTGATCAAATTTACCTAGTTCACCATCAACAAAAGCAGAATGTTTCCAATATCAAAGACAATTAGGTCAGAAGATAATGAAACCAACCCTCTCAACTCCTAGCCCATTTCCTTTCACCATTACTTTTGATCTTTTGAACACAATAATTCTTATTATTTAAGCATAAAACATAAATCCTATGTTCATAGTACATGATCAATTAGCTAGAAAACACCTACTGACCCCAGGTTTACAAGAACCCTATTAAAACCATTTTTTTAAAAAATACATTAAAGTGACATCTTCTTTCCCAGCAAGTAACATCTGAGAGTCTTTTACAATAGATTTGTAATTAATAGCCTGTTCTCCCTCTATGCCATATCGAGGGAAAAATCACAATATTATGTAAGCTATTTTTCTCTGAAGACTTTGATCTTCCTCTAGCTGTTATTATTTTTCTTTTCCTTCTCAGAATCCCAGAGAAATCAGAATGCTAGCTGGTGAGGTTTTGGTGTCTCTAGCTGCACATGATTTCAACTCTGTGATGTATGAAGTCCAGAGTAACTTCAGGATTCTAGAGCTCCCAGACGAATTCGTTGTGCTCTCCCTGGCTGAACTGGCAACCAGATATGGTATAAAGAGAATACTTGATACACTTTAACTAGGAAACAACCACCTCTGAACAATTGTCTAAAACCCAGTGGTTTCAGAAAATGGCAGAAAGGAGAGCATCTCTGCCTACTATAGAGAATTGACAGGGACATGGTGTGGCTATTTATGAATGTTTGTGAGCCTGCCCACCAGCCATTAGTCCAGAATGCAGTGAATTTGACCTGACTCCCATCCTCAACTTTCCCTTCACTTGGCTTTGCTTTTGCAGAAGTATATTTGCCAAAAGGCATATTCTGCAAACTGATGAACACCTGTAAAGATTCCTACCATTAGTTTCTACACTACTTAGTTTAACAGATATTATTGAGCACCCATTAAATTTGCTGGGCCTTGGGAATACAGGGAAGGTTGGGCGGGAGACATTGATATTAATAAAACAATTATCCAAATAAACAATAGCCACTGGACAACAGGTACATGTAGTTGTATATGCAGTACCTTCTTTTGGGGTACTAACTACAGCCTGGCATTCACATGGGGAAGGAGGGGATGAAGGAGAATATCTCCCTCCTGAACCTCACCTGCCTCCTCCTTGCAGCTTTGACATGCTTGTTGCTGATGCAGGAAGTCACAGAGCCCCCATGTGAGAAAATGAGTCATACCTTTCTTCTCTCACCTCCTTCACTGCAGTGTCCCAAAGTATTCCCTTCATGATGATGACCTTGCTCACCATGCAGACTATGCTCAGGCTGGCCGAGGATGAAAGTATGAAGCAAACTTTCTGTATCGGTGGGTATACCTGTGATTTCCTTTTGGCTTAAGATGAACTACAACCAGTCTTTACCAATTGAACACAAGTCTTATTTTCCCTTCTACTCTATTGCCTTTTCTAATACTAATGGGTGCCATTTATTGAGTGCCTCCCATTGTGGAAGGCCCTCTGCAGCCGGTTCTCTCACTCAGTCCTCACGACAATTCTGCAACATCATCAATGGTCCCATCATCCCATTGTGCAGATGAGAACTTTAAGATCATGAAAATTAATCAGTTTTCCTAAGGCAGTGACATACTCAGTGACATGTACAGGTGGCATTCAACCTGAGTCTTCATGACCACCCAGACTCATTTGTATACTGTTCTGTACAGCCTCCTCTTCTCCTAGCATCCTTCTTCAATCACATTTCCTCGACAATGATCATGAGCGCTCACCAGCTCTTGGCAGAAATTTCGACCATACACTCTTATAGTGCCCTGTATATTTATTGGTGTATATTAACTAGTAAACATATATATATATATATATATATATATA